TCATGGATTGAGACATTGAAATGGATTTAATAGATTTTGTCAATATTTAGACAATGATTATACTTATTGAGATCACATCACATGTGTGCTATCATATCCATTTGCCCCTGGATCAATATTTCCAAAAACATGTTTATCATTAAAGTTAATCAATTATTTTCAGTGAATTTATGCTTAAAATGAGACCAAAAACTAAGAATAAGTTTAAATATAAAGTGAAGAAAGCATTGAATTATATTTAAAGCAATTCTTATGAACACAAGTTTTGGTAAATGTTTTAAGCATTCATTTAGTTTTGTTTTAATTCATTGATTATTAGTTTATAATCGCAAACAATATGAGTGAAAAACTCTTCAATTTATTGAGTGAACTATCGGTTGACGTGAAGACCAAATTGGAGACCCATTTGAAGGCAAACCATAAGACTATTCACGACATAAAAGCTGAGTTCACGGATACGATGTCAGCGACTGTCGACCCGAAGCCTAATCACTCGCACAATGAATCCCTGTGTGTCTCAAAGTGTGTCTCAAATCTATCGCAACGACTCTTTGAACAGATTTGGTGACGATTTGTGCGAAGTATTAGTGAGTTATCTGTCACTCGAAGAGCGCATTAGATTTGAATGTCTGTCCAANTCCGTCTTGAAGTCACAGGTCGGGCAACAATAGCCCGGATTATCGCCAATGAAATTACTTTTGATGAGATCGGGAAACGCCACGCGTCTCACGTGTTCGCTCAGTGTATGCCTCTTCAGGTGTGTCTTGAAACTGAATACTTGTCCACAAAAATCGCATTTAAATCGATTCGTCGCACAATTCGCGGCGTTATCACTGTTTGGCACCATTTTGTGGACCTCGCAGACAATCACTGGACCGGAACTGTTGGCGTGAATGACCCGATTGGCGTCCATATGAGCCATAAGTGTCTCGACGTCGGCGCACGTCTGACGGCAAACGCGGCACTCGTATCGAGTGGTCCTGGAGTTGGCGCTCAGCCGGTGTTGGGATGTAGTCAAGTGCCATAAGTAGGTATTCGACTGATTCGTATAAAACGAACAGATCTGACACACGAACGACAGGCGCCGCATGAGGTGCGACTCGTTTTCGGCGATCGACGCGACGCCCAACACATCGTCCACCGCCGAGTGATTCGTTGAACACAAGTAGTGTTTGAGTAAATCAAACGAATCGACGGCTTTATAGACACATAATTTGCACATCAATTGGCTTTCAGTGCTGTCGACAACACTGTTATCGCATACAATCACTTCTTTCAGGCATTGATTGCCATCGAAGACAGTCTCGTCTCCAGTCACATGACATTCATTGAGATCAATGGCTCGTTTGCCACCACATCTGGAGTGAAGACCACTTACTGGTGCCAGACATCTGTCGCCAACGACAAGTTCATCGCATTCTTCAGCGCTTTTCATGGATTGATCCGAAGCTCGCCGTTTGTGTCCACAAAACTCGGATCCGTCGGACGAGTCGTCCGTCACGTCTGACGTGATGCCGGCGGCGACCGACCGATGGCTCGATTGCGGATGACTTCCGGGTTTCCATTTGCCGCCTAAACGTCACAAATAAACGGTTCCCAAGAGATCACTACAACTGTAAAGACACTGTCATTGAACGCAAAAATACCGGTGAAGTCGTTGGGCGGACGGTATATGTCTTCGTCGGACACCTCGTCATCCGAGTTGTCGTACGACTGGTTCGGATCCGTTGTGTCACTCCTGACACTGCGCTCGTCCTCCCCGTCCTCTTCGTCGTCCACTTCCTCCTCATTATCGCCACAAATGTCTTTGTATTTGCATTGGAGTTGAAGACAGTTGAAGAACTTGTGGGCAGAGATGGGCTCACAGTTACCACTCTTGCGGTGATTCACATAAGCGTCTAAACCAGCGATGGTTTGTTTGCATCGGATGCAGATGTGATGGTCGCCGGAGATGTCCAGCGAATCCATGTCTTAAGCGAACTCTTCACTCAACACTATTTGGGCCACAATTGCGACACTCATTGAGACAACGATTGCATGACTTCTCACTCATAATAAGCACTCAAATGAACACTAATTGCGAAACAAATCACAAAACAATGAATGACTGAAAGACCACTCTTTGAATGCATTGTTGTTGTGTTCGGTCTCTCATAGCAACCATTCATAGCAACCATACCTTCAGTCCATTCAAACAAACGGCGCTATTATTCACACATTTCTCGCATTTCTCGCTAATTGTCGTTAAAATGAAAGCAATTGTCATCAGTGTGTCAATCAGTGGTCATCTAACTTATACACAATTAGTTCACTATTCATATATGCATTCAATTCAAAATAAATCATTTATATTATATTTATTATACAGTATCACATACACTCCAAACAGAATATTCTGATAAAATAATAAAATAAGTTATTAAAAGGTACAAACCTATTAAATAAGTAATTTTCAAATATTATTTGCTATTAATATAATATACGGAAATACTGTAATAACAGATAAATAGCATGTACATAAACAATAAAACTAAATAATAAGTAATTCTAAATCAATACCAAATCTATTTCAAGCACATGACCCTAATATCCGGGACCTTTTTCCCAGAATATGTTTGCCATAAAAGTTAATCCTTTAAATCACTTATTTTCAGTGAATTTATGCTTAAAATAAGACCAAAAACTGAGAATAAGTTTAAATATAAAGTGAAGAAAGCATTGAATTATATTTAAAGCAATTCTTATGAACACAAGTTTTAGAAGTTTTTTGCATTTAATTTAGTATTGATTTAAAAATATTAAAGTTTTTAAAATAGTATTAATCGAGTAATTGGTGTTTAAATCAATAAATTGTTGTTTAGTTTACAGTATATGACAACAAAATGAGTCAATACTTATTGAGTGATGTATTAAGTGTTGAAGAGTTGAGTGAACAGTCGGTTCACGTGAAGACCAAACTGGAGACACATTTGATGGCAAACCTGAAGACTATTCACGACATGAAGACTGAACTCAAGAGTTTGAGATCAAAACTACAGACATATGAAGAGATTGGCAATGAATTGAAGACACGATCGCCAGAAATGAAGGAATCAAACGATCAATACTTGGCTCCACTCGAAGAGGGTTTGTGTTAATTGTCTTCAAATGATTTCTTATTTAATAATTTACTTAAAATTACTTTTTATTACTTTTAGACAAACAATGGATTAGTTGTGAACCGAATTCAGTGTTGAAACAAATGAACAGAATTTGCATAAAAGAGTTGCATTTGAATGAAGTGTTGGACACAAGACATGAAGACATCAATGAATCCGAAAGTGTGTCTCAAATCTATTGCAACGACTCTTTGGACAGATTTGGCGACGATTTGTGCGAAGTATTAGTGAGTTATCTGTCACTCGAAGAGCGCATTAGATTTGAATGTCTGTCCAAACGGTACCAGAGATTGCTATTCACTGCACAGAGTATGCACTCAATTGTAGATTTGGCGACGATTTGTGCGAAGTATTAGTGAGTTATCTGTCACTCGAAGAGCGCATTAGATTTGAATGTCTGTCCAAACGGTACCAGAGATTGCTTTTCACTGCACAGAGTATGCACTCAATTGGACTCAACATTGAAATGTTCACTAAATGTAAGGATTTGTTCAAAATTGAGACAATTGTCAAGAAGTGTCAAAACGTGTCAAACATAATGTGTAGAAATTATAAGGCTGTCAATGAAGTGTTGAGACTATTAGCCAAACACTGCAAAAGTGTTCATCAATTAACCACAGAATACGATAAAGCAATTGAAATATTTGTACCAAAGTTTGCCAACCATTTGAAAACAATTAGTATAATTGAACAATATTTTCATAATTCTGATGCAATTATTGAATCGTTGAAAAAGTGTCATAATATACAACAACTGTCTATAGACGGAAACATAAGCAATAAGTCTAATGCATTATTTTTGACATTATTTTTGACATTATTTTGTCATAAACATCATAATTACTTCAGAAAATTGAAAATATTTCACTTAACAATGCACAGGTACGGGGAAACTATTAATATTGAATGTTTCAACACATTTGTGGCTAAATATAGACATAGTTTGCGATCAATGAGTTTAAATGTTTTTAAACTACAGCTTTCTAGTAGTTCAGACAGCAATGAGCTTAATCCAGGGTCTATTGAATGGTTTATCACAAATGCATGGTTTGATTGAATTGAAAGTAGGCTCACAAATATCGCAATTATTGAATAGTTTGGGAATAATCGGCACTAATTGTACTCAACTCAAGAGATTAGTGTTGGAAACCAATTTGCATTTCGTACACAATATTGCAAATTGTGACCATTTATTGCATACATTGAACACATCGTTCACACAATTAAAACGATTGCATTTAACTATATTTAATGCTAACAAACTCATTATAACGAGTGAACGGTTTAATGGATGCAAACGTTTAACACATTTAACAATCGATTTAAACTTTTTCTCAGTGATCGGGGATGACTTCTTCACAGATATTAACAAACATTTACCACGACTTCAATACTTATGTCTTTCAAAATCCGAGATCACAGACTCTGCAGTGAATTCATTGGCAAAACTGACAAAACTTAAAACAATTGATTTGATTGTTTCGGACCATTATAACGATTATTATCGTAAACATGAAAATAAATTCAGCCATGTTAGTTCACCAATTCCATTGCAATATTCTAAAGATTTTATTTCATGGAGCTCATTTACTAAACATTTTATAATACGGGTACAGTTATGAAAATAGTTTTTATTTACTGTATAGTGAAAATAAATAATTTATTCATGTAAATAAATGTAACCAAAATCAATACAACTGTTCAAAGTATTGAGAGCGCCGGTCATTATGACCAGAAATGCAATGTATTTACCATTCAATCAAACCATTAATCCATTGATTAAATCAAATCAACACAAGTGTTAAAACGCGCGCTTTTTTGTTGAAACAAAATTATAATAATTATTGAAAATTACAATCAAATAAATCATTAGTTATAATAATCAACATATTAATTTATAATATCTATTTTGAAAAATAATAACAAAATTTTGGTACCGGTAATAATTAATTGAAAATAACTAACTTTTTTATGTTGAAAAGTTTTCAACATGAAAACACAAAAATGTTTTAAAAAGTGTTTAACATCTTGTTTACTCTATTACGATACAGTAATTGATAAGTTATTATCTAACATTAAGTGTTTTTTAATATACTATAATCTCTACAAAAGTCTGAAACTTTAAAATGAAAGTACAGTTTATTAGAAGAGATAATAATTTAGTTATAGATTTATAAATCATTTGTTTTAAGCATTTGATGTGATGTTGTATTTGTTTGAAAACTTTTAGCATAAATCATTCTGATTCTGTAAATCTTACGATTCGTTCGCAATCGATGGCGACACCTACTGACGGCTCATTTGCACACAATTTGATGTATTTGTTGTGAAAAACACATGATTTGAATGTTGTTTGACATGAAAACTGATTGCAATTAATGTGCAAAACAACGACTCATTGAATACACAGTGACTCCGATCGCCACATAAGCCATGAATTACAGCAATAACTATGCCTTCAATAACTCAAACGTCAACTCAATTCCCGTTAGTATTCACCACAAGAAGAGTCATTCGTTTCGATAACAAGAATCCAAAACACATTGTCTTTGCATTCAGTTTCAGATGCGGTTCGAGGGATGTCTTAAAGAGCCGATCGCACAGAAGTGCCACTCGTTGTCGCAACTCATCCACGAGTCCATCGCCAACAATGCGAAGGTATGGCCGGCCGTCCATCCCATCAAACAATGACCACATGTTGTCTCTCATTGATGGACAGGAAATGCAAATCAATTACCAGTCGTTAGTGGAGGACGTCTTCGGTGTGGGCGGGCACTCCGTGTCCACCGATTGGTCGCTTAAACTGGTGACCCGTCACTGCATTCCTCGCGAGTTCGACGCCATCTATAGCTTTCTGCACCCAAACGGACCGCTGTTTCAACTGATCCGACAGCTGATGAACGATCCGCTCAATCGCTACGAGTTCCCCAAGAAGTACCTTCCGGTGAGGCAGTGATGATCACCCCATGAATGCCTGTTAACCACATTCCTCTCCCTCTCTGTCCGTCAGATTCCGACCAAACTATCGCTCGACGAAGGAGTGGTTCCGAGTCTGTACGCCAACCGAATATCTCACGCCTTATCCGCAGCCATATCAGTGAACGCCTTCGAGTTCTTCGTCTACCACTTCGCCTACCATATGGTGAACACGAGTCCCACACTCCACGGCCAACACAACCCCTACTATTGGGATCAGTTGTCTAACGCCAACACAAACCCGTCAAACGTCGTGTACTTCGCGCTCTTAGAGTCTTATCTCAATTGTTTGGTTCCGTTGGCCGCCAATCAGGACCCGTCCCCGCAGTCGCCTCACTCTCAGTCCAGTATATGGCAGTCGCTGTCGTCCACCACATCGAGTCTTCTTCATTTGGGAACCGCTGCCAACACTTCGCTCGCATCCAAACCCATACCTCAGACGCCGACCCAGACGTCCGCTCTGTTCAAGTCATCGATACTTAATTTGAAGCCATTGTTGAGCGGAGGACACGAACAGCACACGACTGACGGCCGACAGTCGCTGTCCGGGCGTACGGCCGAAGACTCGTTGGGCTCCGAAATCGTCAAATGCGAGACATTTCTGATGATACTGACGGAGATATGGCTCAATCACGCCATACCGCCAGCGCTGGCCAAACGCCACAACGCCAGCCCCTCTAAGCAGCAGTGGTTTGCGCCCAACGCCGACCACATGAGGGCCGTTAGGATTCTCGTCAAGCATTTGCATTACTTCGCCAACAGTGCCATCAAACGGACGAACGAGTCGTTGAATTGTATGGATTCGCCGCTCAATGACTTGAAGCGATCCGTTTGGTCTCATAAGCACTTCTATCAGAAGAGATTGTATGCATTCCTCCGGTTGTCGTTCGAGCGGTGGCCGAACGACACGTCGTTCCGGTTGCCACTGGAGACGTGGCTCAGTTACGTACAGCCCTGGCGTTACACCAGTTCCTCGCCGAACGGCGCCCGACATTCGGACGGCGACGACAGCAACGCGAAGCAAGAGATCACTCTGACTGACGGCCAGTGGAAGCAATTCATTGCAGACAATCTGCTCTTCTATTCGGTGATCTTCCGGCAACTGATCCCACGATTCTCGCGAGTGTTGGACTTGAGTTCGTCGAAGAACGCGCTGATGCTCTTCAGACTCACCAAAGTCTTCTCGCAGCCAAACCTCGCCCTTTGGATCAGAGAAGCGGAGAACTCCCTGACGAGTAGCGACACCTCTGGCGCCGGTTTCCTGCAGAACAGTTGGTCGGCGACGATGACGACGACTTCGAGGGCCAGCCTATTGTCGCCGACACTCCGTCAGCACAACGTCGGCTCATTGGCCAGTAATATGAGGCACCCGTTGATGGAGACCGAGGCCAACACTTTTGAATACATACCGCTCTTCTGTCCGGCCATCAAACCATTGATTTTACAGCTTTTGAACGAAATCTCGAAAGCGTTGTTCAGTATATCGGAAATGATAGCCAAAGCGCAGGCGTCCGAAGAGATGGCAATATCCGGTCTGTCGTTCCTTCAGTACGTCATCTCATTCTTCCAGATCTCAGAAGACGTGACCAAATCGGATGAGAATAAGAGGTTTTTAGTCGACAAAATGAAAACCAAAAATCATTTGCAGAACGCGTGCACACAGTTGTCGGCGCTGTTTGAGATGCCAGCGCACGAGTCGGACCTCATAACCAATCAATCGATGGACGGCCAGCCGGTGGGCGACAACGAGGGCACACCTATTGTCCGGCACCGGACGCAAGCGCTGTACGAAGAGAGAGACGGAACACCAAAGTTGACGCCATTCGGCAGAACACAGCTCCTGAACAGACAGTGTAGGCCTCACCTGAATCTGGTTGAGGGCAACCCCGACAGACAGCCGGTGCGCAGCTATGAGTTCTACTATTTGGTTCAGTTCTGGCTATTCGTATGCGATTGGATTAACAACAGATACGGGCATAGGATTCAGAGCCTGTATGACAGACCGGGATTTGTGGGCATATTCTTGAAGCAACTGATCGCTGGGCCCACGGCTTACATACGGATTGTCAAGTCTGGCACCGCTTACAGACCGCCCGATCGCGTGACCGAAGTGTTGGCGCCGAGAGTTAACCTGCGATTCATGGCTAACAAACTATACCTCACGTATGCACTCATTGTGTGGACAGTCGTCTATCTATTAAACTATAGTTTGCTATCGTTCTCATCGCTAGTGTTTGCCATGTATTTAACTTATTTGGGAACCAAAACACTGTTATATTACTTCAGTAGTCATTAATCTTTACGATTAAAACAAATTGATTTAATTTTAATATTGAATTAAAAACTTGTATTGAAAAAATTATTGCCAAATTTGGCATTGCCATTTGGCAATATTGACTTACAAGTATTTTTATAATTTATACGACTTTTAATAATTAGTTTGCATTTCATGATTAAAACTTGTGTGAAAAATATAAATCAGTTTAATTCAATTGATTTTAAAAAATTCATTTCAAAGAAGTCATAAATAGTAATTATTTTGTGATCAGAATTCATGCACTTTTTAAATTATTTAAACAAATATTAATATTGACATAAAATTTGTTATAAAATTAAAGTTAAACTACCGATACATTTATCAATAATATGATAGCATTTTAAACAAATACTGTGAACTATACTCACCTTACGATCAGTCGATTGTAATCATATCGTTGTCATCAGTTTGGGCCACAATTGTCTCGACAGTCAGTTCGGACGGTATGTTTAGCCACTGTTCGGCATCCAATTGATAGCCGCCCGGCGCCCCCTCTGTGTCCGCAAAGTGAATGTACTTGAAATGCATCTCCAGTTCCTCAGTAGATTCCATATCGAGATCACAGATATCACAGCGCAAACAAGGGCTACCAGTGGGTACATCCTCTTGAGGGGGCATAACACTGACCGTCACCTCTGGAACCGATTCCCTGGACTCTATGCGACGGTTGTGCTCCTGACTCAAGTGCTGCCGAAGACTGTTCACCGAATCAAACCATTTTCCGCAACCATTTCGACGACAATTATAACTATTGGTTTGCGGGGACAGGGGTTCGGTGGGCTCTGTCGACGGGAACGTCGTGTTAAATATCTCCGGATTTATGTTTGGCATTATATCTTCGGATTGATTGCCATTTATGGCGCCATTCTTATGGGCGAGACTGTGGTGTCGTTTCATATTTCCAATATTAGTGTACAGTTGTCCGCATTCCGGGCACCGACACGACTCGTCCGTTATATGTATGAGACTCTCGTTTTTGATATGTTTATGTGTTTTATTGAAATGAAATGCCATTAAAGCTCTTAACTTGAATTGTTTGCGGCACCGGACGTACGGACAGCTCACGTAAAAGTCATTCGTCGACTGATTAGGCTTTTGTTTGGACAGCATATTCATTAACTCCGAGCCTAACATCGGATCCGCACTGGATTTATGTGTCGATGTGTTCGGCGAAGACTTCTTAGCCGTCTTCGTCGGTAGGTTTCGGATGTCTTCGGGAGACATGTTATGCGCGGACATCATGTGCTGCTCCAGAAGCGGCACACTTTTGAACATCTGTTGGCAAACCTCGCAGTCGTGTGAGATGTGGTGTTTGAGTCTTTGGTGAGCCTTAAGGTACTTGCGTTTTGTGTAAGACTTGGGACAACGAATGCATTTGATTCGCGTATTCTCTTGGCTCTGATGCCAGTCGTTGTGTTTAATCCAGTCTTCGTAGTTGTCTGACGCGAACCGACAACCCTTTGCGTCGCATTTGAACAACGACTTCATGAGTCGTGTGCTTAAAGACATCCGCGAAGACAATAGAGACGATTCACCACTTTCTTGGTGTTCGTTGAAAGAGGTTTTGGGAACTTTTGGTTCGTTTGATTCAAACTCTTGTTTCACAGGAGAACTCATGCCTTCATCCCCGGACTCACTAAATGGTGTCACATATGAGTGATTCATATCCACATCATTGGCGTCGTTATCATCGGAAACTAATTCAGATTTAATGGCTGTATTTGTATCAATGGGTTCGTCAGTATTGATATCCCTTTCTCTGTAATCACACCAAAAGACAAATCATAATTAAAATCACTTCCAAAACACGTGACAAACAAAATACTTTTTGACGATATGACTGATGACATGCTTCTGAAGTACGCCCAACCGGTCGGTCTTGAAGTGGCAGTTCTCGTGCGAGCACTCGTGATACCAAACACTCTGCCCGTCCTCCGCGTCCCGGCTGTTAGGCGTCTCCACTTTCGACTCATCGTTGATCTCATGTTTGCGTCGATGTCTTCGCATATCTGACGGCCATTTAAAGAGCTGATGACAAACGTCGCACTCATTCTTGTAATCCCTTTTGGCAGCCCTTACGGGAGCCGTTGATTTGTGGACAGACCTCTTATGCTTAAAGAGGGGCTTATTGGAGGCGAAACTGGCGTCACATTGCGTGCACTTGAAGGCCAGCTCTCGGTTATGTATTATCATATGGTTTCGGAGTTTCGCGAATCCGTGTCGAGTCATAAAACTACATTTAGTACACCTCAACGGCGCACCGGTAGTCTTACCGCCGCTTTTGGTAGACTTCCCAATATTGTTGACTTTAATGTCAGCTTTTAGTGGAGTGACTGATCCGGTGGTAATGGGATGTTGTTTGCAGTGAACTGACATAACGTGTCGATTCAAATTATGAGTGCCATAAATGGTCGAGAAGTGGCACCCGCTATAAGTGCAACTCAATGTCTTTTTCTTATTCAAGAGTGTAGTTCCCTTTTGTTGGCCACTAAACCCCGGTTTCACTGTATTTAATGACTTAATCTTATGCAACCTCTGGATGTGTTTCGTGAGATTCTTCTTCAAACTGTGTCCCGATTTTGTCACGTATTGGCAGTTAGGGTACGGACAGTGCAAACTAGAAGAACCGGTATCCGTGTCCACGCTATTGACGTGCATTTCTTTCACGTGTTCACTGATACCCAACTGTCCTCTCCTCGTAACGAACCGGCAGTCAGGGAACCGACACTTTGTTCTCTCCTTCGGCGGACTCTTTGATACACTTTTTGTGATCACTTTTGGACTACTGTTTGTCAGTCTTTGGATCTCAGCCGACGATAACTTCTTGAAGAAAATTCTCTCTTTTTAAGCGAAAATGAATACAAAATTTAGTTTAAAATGAATAAAACAAATCAAAAACAAATACAAACCCTCTGTGAAGCCGCCGGACTGGTACTCAATGGGCGGCACTCTAATGGGCTGACTATGGGACGGATGTACCGGCGATGGTGTGTCCGCATACTTCTGGCACTGAAAGCGCGGATAACTCTGAATACCCTTCAAAGCGTCCAATTGTTTGACCCAATCGTCCAAATCGTGGCAAATGTTGTAATACTTTTGCTTCAACTCATCGACAGTTGGTTCGCTGGCTTCGGGAACAGGTATGGCATCGCCGTCGACGGCAACCACTTCCTGGCCATCATCGACACCGGGGTCTGGAATAGTCTCAAATTCCGGCACCACTTCTGGCTTATCATCGGATTCTGGTTTGAGTGGCGATTCCGGCGCCGATTCAACCGCTCGCCCGTCTTCCGGGTCTGTAATGGCATCGCTTCCGTAGCTATCGTTGCCGTCGCTGCCATCGACACAGTCTTCAGCCACAGAACTGGTGTCCAACCTTTCGATGATGGCCTCCAAGACATCGATACACTCGATGGACAGGCCGTGGATGCGATTGAAGGCAAGCAACTGTTGGCCGCAAACCAAGTGCTTGTCTTTGAGTAATAGGTTCTGACGTTTGAGTCTTTCGATGACTTCAAACAAATGGACACAATTGTGACACTCATTGAGACAACGATTGCATGACTTCTCATTCATAATAAGCACTCAAATGAACATTAATTGCGATACAAATCACTAAATAATGACTGAAAGACCACTCTTTGAATGCATTGTTGTTGTGTTCGGTCTCTCATAGCAACCATTCATAGCAACCATACCTTCAGTCCATTCAAACAAACGGCGCTATTATTCACACATTTCTTGCATTTCTCGCTAATTGTCGTTAAAGTGAAAGCAATTGTCATCAGTGTGTCAATCAGTGGTCATCTAACTTATACACAATTAGTTCACTATTCATATATGCATTCAATTCAAAATAAATCATTTTATATTATATTTATTATATCTCATAAACTCCAAACAGAATATTCTGTAAAATAGAATAATAAAATATTAAATAATTTATAATATTATCATAGATAATTTAACCAAATACTATTTGCAACCATATTACCATGATCAATACAGATAAATAACATGACATCATCAATACTATTAGAAATGATACCATCATGTATTCAAATACCTGTAATAGTAAATCCAAACCAACCAAATCTATTTATAGCACATGACCTATCATATAAAGGACAAAGGATCGGGACCATTTCTAAGAATATGTTTGCCATAAAAGTTAATCCTTTAATTACTTATTTTCATTGAATTTATGCTTAAAATGAAAACAAAAACTGAGAATAAGTTTAAACACAAAGAGAAGAAAGCATTGAATTATATTTAAAGCAATTCTTATGAACACAAGTTTTAGACATTTTTGGCGTTAATTTAGTTTTAATTTAAAACTATTAAAGTTTCTAAAACAGTATTAATTGAGTAATTGGTGTTTAAATCAATAAATTGTTGTTTAGTTTACAGTATATGACAACAAAATGAGTCAATACTTATTGAGTGATGTATTCAGTGCTGAAGAGTTGAGTGAACTGTCGATTGAAGTGAAGACTAAATTGGAGACACATTTAATGGCAAACCTGAAGACTATTCACGACATGAAGACTGAACTCAAGAGTTTGAGATCAAAGCTACAGACAAATGAAGGGATTTTCAAAGAATTGAAGACACGATCGCCAGAAATGAAGGAATCAAACGATCAATACTTGGATCCACTCGAAGAGGGTTTGCATTAAAATTGTCTTCAAATTGATTTAAATTTTAAATATTTTTTGTCACATTTTAGACAAACAATGGATTAGTTGTGAACCGAATTCAGTGTTGAAACAAATGAACAGAATTTGCATAAAAGAGTTGCATTTGAATGAAGTGTTGGACACAAGACATGAAGACATCAACAAATCCCTGTGTGTGTCTCAAAGTGTGTCTCAAATCTATAGCAAAGACTCTTTGGACAGATTTGACGACAATTTGTGCGAAGTATTAGTGAGTTATCTGTCACTCGAAGAGCGCTTCCGATTTGAATGTCTGTCCAAACGGTACCAGAGATTGCTATTCACTGAACAGAGTATGCAATCAATTGGACTCAAAGCTGAAATGGTACTGAAGTTCAAGGATTTGTCTAAATTTAAGATATTTGTAAAGAAATGCCAAAATGTGTCAAACATTGTTAGTAATGATCACCTGATAAGAGAAGCTGAAGACATTTTGTTCGTTGAAGTATTCAAACTATTAGTAAAGCACTGCAAACATGTCCATCAATTAACATCCGGAGAAACCCCTAAAAGTTTGAGAATATTTTCCTATTTTGGCCACAAGTTCGCCAAATATATGCATACAATCCATATAAATGGATATTTTCATAATTATACCGAAGAAATGATTGAAATGTTCAAAATGTGTGATAATGTACGCCAACTGTCTATTATGAGCGCTAGTCTCCAAAATCAATCGCTATTTTGGCGTTTATTTTGTGACGACAATCACTATTACTTCAGAAATCTTCGTGCTTTCCGTTTAACAGTTTATCTTTCAGATGATAATAGTATTGAATATTTCAACACATTTGTGGCTAAATATACACATAGTTTGCGATCAATGGATTTATCTTGTCTTAGTAATGAAATAACACCGGGTCTATTGAGTCAACTATTGAATGCTTTATCACAATTGCAGAATTTGTATGAATTGAAACTAAGTATCACAATACCCATCTTACAGATATTCAATACAAACTTTTTCAATAGTTTGCAAAAAATAGGCACTAATTGTACTCAACTCAAGAGATTGACTTTTAATACGAATTGCTATGTTATTAAGAATTGCATGCATTTATTGGATATAATGAACACAAACTTCAAACAAATAAAGCGATTGAGAATTAGCGGCACTTTTGGTAGTGAACTGCATATGAGTTTATTGAGTGAATCCCTTAATCGTTGCAAACATTTAACTCATTTAACAATCCATTTAATTAATAACACAATCAGTGATGACTTCTTCAATGATATCGACAAACATTTACCACGACTTCAATACCTGTGTATATCGAAGGCAGAGATAACTGACTCGTCATTGCATTCTTTGGCAAAACTAACAAAACTTCAATCCATTGAATTTAAAGTGCTAATATGTAACCTTGATGATTATGGTACACTTCGAAACAAATTAACCCATGTTAAGAATATACGTGTGCGTAAACTTAATAATATGAGTATTAAGGTTTAGATTTATCGTATTAATTTAATTGTATGAATGCATTTGAATTGTACTTTGAAAGTATGCCATCATTTGAATAAACAATAAAAGTTGTATAAACCCATTAAACCCATGAAAACGATTGCTTTATTTATAATCATTTACCGCTATTTAGAATCGAGTTTCAGTCGAAAGTCATTTATTATAAATAAATTAGAAAACAATTGATAATATAATTAAAAACTTGAATTTATTGAATGTGTTTGCAGTGAAAGTTGGGGTCAATTCTTAGCGCTGGTCTCCTGCTGTTCAAAGAGTGGGTAACTCTTCTTAACGTCACTCCAACTCCTCTTCCCTTTCGTCAAATCGCTTACAATAAGCGCCAACTCTTCCAACTGTCAGACCAGACATCATATCAATCATTAACACAACACCTCTTAATCACAACAACACATTAGACACATACCGGAGCTCTGATCTGTTCCATGGAATCCCTTTCCCTGAGTGTGGCCGTGAAGGGGGCGTTAAGGCTATCGAAGTCTATGGTAATACCGAACGGAATGGCGATCTCATTACAACACATTAGACACATACCGGTGCTCTGATCTGTTCCATGGAATCCCTTTCCCTAAGTGTGGCCGTGAAGGGGGCGCTAAGGCTATCGAAGTCTATGGTAATACCGAACGGAATGGCGATCTCATCGGTTCTCGCATACCGGCGCCCAATGGATCCGCCGCTTTGGTCCACTTTATTGGAGATTTCGTTTTGCGTCAACAGATCCGACACCCGCTTCACGAGCGGCCGGAACTCCGCGTTACCGCTCAGCGGCAGTACCGAGCACTTGATGGGCGCCACGAGCGCCGGTAGGCTCAGGTATGCCCTCTGGTCGGAGCCCTCCCTAACGCGGAAACAGTGCTCCCAAATGGAGTACATAATCCTCCCGATGCCGAACGACGGCTCCACCACTCCGGGTGTGATCTCCTCGACGTGAACCGTCTTTTGCGAGCGTCTTATGACAACCATATCTTTGGTGATTCGGAACGGCTTTCCGTCGACAGTCAACTCGAACTCCGAGCCCTTCTCCAACTCGGCCTCGTATTTGAGTATCTCTTCCGACTCTAAATCATTCAACGCTTCCGTTATGCTCTTCGCGTCGCCTTTGAATGTCTTTCCGATCACTTGCTTTTGAGGCACACACTCGAGCGCCTCCACCTGTTTGGGCGCCGGCAGGTCCTTCTCGGCCGTTAACCTAACTTTCGTGTTTCCGTTATGCTCTTCGCGTCGCCTTTGAATGTCTTTCCGATCACTTGCTTTTGAGGAACACACTCGAGCGCCTCCACCTGTTTGGGCGCCGGCAGGTCCTTCTCGGCCGTTAACCTAACTTTCGTGGCCTTCGAGTGTTGAGTCAAATCAAAACAGGAGCGGTCGGCGCACCCGACGCACTCCACCCACCCATAAGAGGTGAGACACTCGGCGTCCCAGCAGTCGGTGGCGTAATGGGCCATCTCGTTGGACATGTGCTGTCGGAACCGTAGCTTCTTGGGGTCGACACCCACTCGCGTCAAAAACAAGTGAATTCTGGCCATAAAATAGCCCAACGTCTCGTTGGCTATCGTCTTGTCGGCGACCGCCTGTCCGACGGCCACCTGTTGGGCCGGTTTGCCGTCCATCTGATTGCACGCCGAATAGAGCGTCAGTTTCTGGTCGTTAATCGCCTCAAACTTGGGGTGCGTTTTGTCGGACGGGTCGACGAAGTGCTCGATCTCTGCTAACGTGAACTCCCGGACCCGTATGAGTCCACTCCGGGGCGATATCTCGTTGCGGAAGGCGTTGCCGATCTGCGCGGCGGCGAACGGCAACCGCTTCTGATTGAACTCCAGGAGTCGCTTGAAGTTCACGAATATTCCCTGAGCCGTCTCCGGCCTCAGGAAGCCTTTGATGGCACCGGACGGTCCGATAGACGTACTGAACATCAGATTGAATTCGATGGCATCCGTCACGTCATTGCCGGTGACCGGCGTCTTGATGTCATACTTGCGGAGAACGGCATTCATCTCGTCCTTCGAGAAACCATCCAATTTGATGATCACGTCTTCATACTCAGCCCTCTTGTCGGCCGACGTCTTCTTATCGGCCATCAGTTTCTCGAGATGTCCTTTAATGAGATGATCCAAACGAAAGCACTCGCCGTTCTTCACGTCCTTCACCATGAGATCGGCGAACCTCTCGACGTGTCCGGAGGCCCTCAGCACGGGCTCGGGGGTCAGTACAGTGCAGTCCACTTCCAGCATCTGCTCCTCGAGCACGAAGTGGTTGCGCCACACGTTCAAGAGGTTCGTCTTCATGGCGCAGCCCATCGGCCCGAAGTCGAACTGACCGGCGATCGCGCCGTAGATGGCGAACGACTGGTCAAAGAAGAACCGCCTCTTCAGCAGCTCCTCGAGCAGCGCCCGATCGAAGCCGGCGTTCGCCGGCGACAGCGACAGCTCCCTGTCCTCCAACACCTTCTTGCGGGCCTTCAGCTCATTGACGGCTCGTTTGACGTCCACTTCGGGAGCGTTGGCCGCCTTCAGGGAGCGCACGATATCGCCTGTCGTTTGGGATCCGATGAAGAAGATGACGCATATGTGAAGAAAAAGTTTGTTTTTTTAGTCAAACAACACATCGGAAGACGTTGTGACACGTCGTGAGACACGAGTGGTGTGTCTGTGTGTCCGACACATACCCTGCTCTTTGACGGCCTGTCGGAGTGGTTCGAGCACTCGGGCCACCTCTGGATCCGTTTCGGCCATTATCTTCCTGGCGTACAGTATCCTATACTTCGGTAACTTGTTTTTGGCCCAATCGGTGGCTCTCTTCGTGTGTCTGAGACAGTGGTTCGCGTGAAGACCTCTTCGTGCGCTGACAACGTGTACCCTATTTGTGATGATTTGCACCAAAACTCTATTGAATTGCAGTGAATATCCCATAAAATATGTGTCAATCAGTCATTGCCTTAGCCTTCGCCTGTCTGTGCTGTCTATGCGCTGGGAATACAGGTTTTGCACACAATTAACAATACTATCGCTGATAACAATGCAATCCTTTGCACAAAACCATAGGCCATATGGCAATTACGGACAGGTATTACAGCATTGGTTTCTCGTTGGCACCGGCGCTCAATTCAACACTACATACACATAAACACATGCGAAACGCCTGTCCCCTATACAGTCGACACGTTTAAATGGGTTTAAGCCATCACAATTTAATTAGAGTTGGATTTGTATGAAATGCTTTGTATTTCTATTTGTTAATTATATCTGCATTTAAGCTTAAGTTTTATTGTGTGTTAAATAATATTCAAATGAAAAGTTATGAACTAATATTCAGTAGTGTTTGCCTGTACTGTGAGTTACATATGCGAGCAAACAGTGTTAACCCATGTGTTTGAATGGCAACCGACGTGTCAAACATGCAATACTTAATCTGATTTCTTAATTAATGACATAATCTGTCACTTAAATCGATGGCCAAAGTTGTAATCCGCGAGTCCTATGGCAGTGAACACGAGTCCGAGAGGCTGTACGTGCAGACCGATGGACAGCCTAACAGTTTGACAGTAATTGACAAACAGAGACACCAATGGATTACTATGACATCTGTGAAGATGTTTTTCACAGTCAGTCATCACTTGCATTAATCACTTATCAAACCTCTTAAGACATTTGATAAACTTATTATAAAGTTAACCCAATTATCGCATAATTATCTCATTTTTAGGATTAAGTCTTATTTGATTTGATGAGTGATTTGTTAAGAAGTTTTAAATTTAAAATAAATGTTTTTTTTGCAAACTTTAAACTAAACTTTTTCTAATGACTTGATTCGCGTGTCATGTGTTTAGTCGGTGTTCCTTCCGGCTGGTTATCCCGACTCCGTGTCCGGCGATTACATTGAGTACCAGTTGTGGGACAGTATTCAAGCGTTTGCCTCCAGTATAATGAATAACTTGGGCACTCATGCCGTACTTAAAGGTATACTCATATTCTTCGGCACACATTAGTTCCCAACGATAACCATGAGATACAATCCCACGGCACAGGTGTAGGGGTCGGTGACTCGACTGCCACTGTCTTGGCGGCCACTATTACATGGCTTTTAAGAGGTTTAGTAATACTTTCCTCTCAATTGATTCAATGATTAAACTCTTGTGATGTGATCAGACGGCACATCAATGAGCGGAAGAATACTCTTCGCGTACATTCAGAGCTCCAAATTAGACGCCGATTGCAAGAAGTGGAGACTTTTCGCCGACTTAATCAACGACTTATCCATTTTCATAGACTTATTATCGCCTTATTTTTCGCATTACTTTCTGTACACCCAATGCCTGTCCGGTGTCTTGAAATCACTCGTGGGAACAGCTGGTGGTGCCACCCGAGCCGCGCTCACTCAACACGTACGCCATAATTGAGGCCATAACCTCTGTCTTAAGAGTTAATTCAATGATTACTTTGACAGCAATCGCGACGAAACAATTTGGCGGACGTGTCGGCCAAAGACGGCAGTCAGGAGACGCTCGTTAATCTCACGGCTCTTATATGTAGTCTTATAATAGTTCCCATCGTTTCCACGAATACGAAGTATTATAACCAGAAATATATTTGTATTTAATTTGAATTAAACTTAAAGTTTGCCGTCGATTGCAGTTTGGTTTGGATTCTATTCGTTTGCTTTACATTACTTCACATTTACGCCAATTATAAGGCCGTGAAGTCCGTCTCATTAGAGACGTTCAATTTGAGTCGATTTGCCATTTTTGTGGACAATTACCTTAAGACTGGCGGCGATGTATTACCGGTGAAGACATGCAATACTCGAGAGAATGTCTGGTTTTTCATAAAAGACGAGTTCGACGTCTGCAGCGATAGGATAGCGATCGGGATCTCTCTTCAAAGTCATCGCCTATCAAATGCCAAACAATTGAATCAATTGATTGATTTGTACGCTACTGATGACGACGACTGTCAGTATATCTTGACTTTTGAGACGAAAAACAAAATCAACATATCGTTGAAGAAAAACTTCATTCCGTCGGCTCTATTAGAGTCCGTATTTCAGGCGATTGTCTTATATTTCGCACAAAACTCGTCGCAAACAAAAGACCCAAAACTTAAACAAATTATAAATGAATTAAACGGCGAATCAAAAGACACGAAACGACTGCTGGAATTGAGCCGTAAGTATGCCATCGATTCCATGAGCCGATTGACCGCCAAAGCCAGCGCCGAGGGCTGGGATACGAGTAAAGTGTTGATCACTCCAAGCGAGTGGCGATTTGAATTGTCTTAAGGTTTTCATTATTTAAATGAATTTTATATAAAAGATTATTTCATAAAGTATTTCATTTGTCAAAATCTAATGAATTTATTTAAAAAATAAATATATTCTCGAAAATGAAAACTTGTTTTGAAACACGAGAATAAAAAAACACACGAAAAAACTGATGGAAAAAGAGTTTTGCATTTTTTTTGGCTAACATTTACATAAAATAGTATTTTTCCGATAAGTTGTGAAAAAATTTCGATTACAAGTGATTTGATAATTCTTAACAAACAGTTATATTTATAAATTCAATGCAATTATAATAATAGATAATTACTGAATATAATTTATATAATATTTAGCTTTTATTCAAATTCAAAATCATAGGCAGAAATCAAACAAAATATTTGATTCAATGAATGAGTGAATTATTCAAATGAGTAGTTTGTTTAATGAGTTAATAATATTATAATTGAGTGAATAAATGATATAATATTTAGAGCAATATTATAGTAAATGATAATTTAATTTAAAAACAAAAAAGAAGGAAAAAATCTGCGAAAACCTAAAGACAGCGAAATAATCGTAATTTTGTTTTGTCGTTAATGTCGGGGTATTTGAACGTAAAATCCAATCGATTCTTAAGTCATTTTTGTAGTCGTTTTGGCGAAAAAATGAAAAATATTTGTCAAATGTTTGGATCAATTCGTCTGTTATTAACTAAAATGAAAAAATCGCAACAAATTACTCGCAAATCCAACACTGAATGTCGCGTCAAATGATAACTACCTTTAGATAATGTTTTGCAACTCCAAAGTCGGTGTTCAGCGCATCTATCGGCTGTTGGAGGTATCGATGATGAAAGTGGTGTTCCCATCGGTGGTCAGCTCTCCATTGCCGTCGACAGCGATGGCCAGGTTGAGACTCGAGAGGGTGGCCGCGTCCAGTGTCAGCGACCCGTCCTCATTGAAACAGTTGGCCGGAAGCATAATCGTCTGCTCGCCGCCGGCGCCCCCGTCGCCCGACTGCAGCTGTTGGCCCACAATCGTCGACAGGGCGGCGCTGTCCTCCGACTGCTGCACGTGAAGCTCTTGCGGGTCAAAGGCCACGGTATTGGAGCCGTTGGCCGGAATGGTCGCCACTTCTGATATGTTCGGTCGCACAAAGTTCAACGAATTGATCACTTCGGACACAGCCATCCCCTGCGGGGCTGTGATCTCCATGAGTTCGCCGCTCTCCTGATTCAATATCATAATGACTTGAGTGCCGTCTTCGGATTGGTTGGCGATTCCCTGAGCGGCCGTCAATGCGTTCAAATCGATGACCGGCTGTTGCTGTGTTTGGGCCGTCTTTTTGGGCGTTCGCGCGCGACTTCGGGCCGTCTTAGCGGCCGGTTTGGTGGGCGCCGACGCTGCGGCCGCCGCCTGAGCTATGAGTTCCAGTTGTTTGCTCTCATCGATGGGCTCCTGTTTGACACTTTTGACGCACTTGTGTCCGGCCAGGTCTTTGGCGCTCTTGAACAGTGAGTTGCAATGACCGCACTTTATGACAGTATTGCTCACTTGTGGCCCTCCCTTAACGAACGATTGCGGCGTTTTTGGTTTGATTGCCGTCGCGCTCAGAGGCGACGGGAATTTCAGCATATGTTGATCGCTCTTCGGCGGTATCGACTGAATGATTGGCGTTTTGGTGGTCGAGGGTCGACCCGGCGATGGCTTCTGTGGTACTATGTTTTGCGGGGCGACCCGTTGTATTTGCTGGTGTGACCGCTGATGACTGTTCAACATATTTACGTTCCAGAAGGCTGTCCACCAGAAAGACAATACATGCAATCGTTTAGTCCAATAATTCCTCACTTTATCATAATGCGATACAAACCCTGTTGACATACGGAGCACTTGTATTCGCTCTTATGGCCCCTGTAGTGGGTGACGAGCATCGACCGGGTGGTTATGGTTCGGCCGCAGTCCTCCCAATTGCAAACAATGGGGTCCTGATGCACCTCCATGTGTGCGTTCAACTGTTCCCGATTGTAGAACTTTTTGATGCATTTCTTGCACTCGAAGGCGAATCCATGGGACACGAAGTGCGCCAATACGTCGCTCTGGGGTTCGTTGCACTCCTCGCAGATCTGGAGCTTATCCTGATGTGTGTTCTGGATGTGGGCGCGTCGGGAGCCTAACGATTACAGACAGTTAAGTAATGGCCAACTCTAATGAGAGCTAATGTGTCCGATTGAGGACCACTTACTGGGAGTGGCGGTCGATATACCGCAATAGGGACAGGCGTACTGATGGGGTTCGGTCTCCAAGTGATGAATGTATGACTCCTTCATACCGAAGAACGTGTGACAGGCCTTACACTTGAAATTCCTCGGCTCTGTGCGATGAAAATGACCGGAAGCCGTGAACTTATTGATGTGTTGGTCCGTTATGAGGTGCGCCACTAAGTCCTCGTCGGAGCCGAAGTATAGGTCACAGTAGGCGCAGACAAACACCTAAGCATTCAATGCAATCAATTAAGACATCAAAACAAAGAGCTATAACACGAAGCCATACTTCGTCCGGATGTGTGATAATAGTCTTCTGCGTGTGATTCGTCGAAATCATGTGCTCCTAAAAAAACAGTCGATGAAATCAATTAGACAAACGCTCATCAAAACACATCCCAATCAACAAGTGATGGGAAAGTGATGGACAA